CAGCTGCCGTCGCGGAGGCAGGGGAGACGCGTCCGAGGCCTGGAGTACAACGGGTATGATGTGAGGCGGAAGTTTTCCGACTACGCGATGAAACACCAGGAGAGCTTACCGAGGGGGAGGGTGTCTTCCGACGATTTCCGATCACGGAGGAGAATTTCCTCCCCCTTCTCAGAATGTTGCCGCCACTCGTTGTGGCAGCAGCGGCAGCAACATCGGACGCCTCCTTGACGACGTCCTCCTTCAGCGACGCCGCCGCCTGATGATCCACGAGCGGCCCGATGATATCAGTCAGAGGGAGAGCCTACGCTTCATGAAGTTACAATGCTATCTCGGAAGAAAAATGCAAAAGGGCCGCTGAGTACACTCACATTGATGGCAGCTTCGCGTTCGGCCGCCCCCTTATCGCAAAGGGGGACGGGGACGTTGCTCGCCATCGTCGGGCCGCTGATCATCAATTGGCCGACGCGGCGCTCCACGGCTTCACTGCTCAAACCTGTAGATCGAGAACTAGAATTCGATAAGTCAGGAGGAACACGCACACAAGGAAGTCAGTTTTAATACAAGAAAAATACCCCGAGGAGAAACCCGGGTCGAGTCCTCCAGTCCAGAATAGTCAAAGGCTAGGTGGGCCCGAGCCTGGAGCGGCTGGATCCGTCTACCAATGAAGTCGGCAGCGACTTCATACCCCGACAACCCCCGTACTCGGAGGTCATCAATGATATCGATGAAAGACTGGAGGGATGGGGTCAAGGCGGGTTTGGCGGTCCAAGACAAAATCTTGTCTGGTCATTCCTCAGGAACAACGAAGACTGGATCTGAATTTTCTATCTGAAGATAGAACCACCTCGCCCGCCATTTGCTACGAGAAGAAGGGCACTGGAAGGGGATATAGCGCGACTTCAGGCCATCCCTGAGTCGGAAACCGACACATTCGGATACCCTGTTGGGTTCCATCCAGCGCAACTCGTAGTAGAAACGAAAGAGGTCAAGAAACGGCTCTACCCCAATGTAGGCCTCACAAAGATGTGAAAAAATACTGAGGAAGGCGATGTAACTGGGGCTCAAATGGAGCAAAGAAAGGCCGTAGAAATTCAAGACCAAGAGAAGAAATTTAGAAGGCGGAGGAAGAAAACCATAGAGAATGTAGTCCTCGATCGCAACCATGCGACCCAGGACAGGCTGGGGTTCAATACCTCCTACTTCTCTCTCCATGGTCCCGTGACCGGGAAGGGCACCATCCGCCTGTAGTTTCTTCAGCGACGTGCTGGTGGAGGTGGACTTGTCGAGATCCATTGCCGCCGGAGATCGCCGGAGAAGGGACCGAGATGAACTAGCTAGGGTTCTTATGGGGGTGGAGAAGACGAGGAACGCTTGGAGACTGGAGAATCTTTTCACAATAGGCGGACTTCGAAATGGATCCCCAAAACTCCCTTAAATAGTCGCACTTCCGACGGTGCGAATTCCAAGGAAAGGAGAGAGATAGCCGCCGGAAATTTCTAGGTCCGTTACGCGCGGCAATTTTTCAGACTTCAATTTAAATTCACTCATGACCGTTGAGCTTCACTGGGCGTTGTCGATTACTCCTCGTCTCTCGGTCCTCACATCGAGAACAACAACAACCTCGACATCAAAAGTCACGATCGGTTACATGAGTTCATTTAAGCAGAAGTCGGGGGCTACTGTCAAGGTTACGGGTAAGGTATACCCTCTACCCTTCGATATACGTCACGTATCGATATGGTATACTTGCGCGTATACGGACGTTTTCGGCATACGTTAAAGAAATTCGCCATGGAGTTCACAGATGGAAGGAGTACTACTCAGACGGGACTGGGTCGTCATTGTATCATGCTGGGTCCGATGTCTCCGAGTCCTACTTGGAGACCAGCTGACCTGCGATTATAAAAGGGACCCCCCGGGAGGATCTAAGTGATCGAATCTCATAGCCAACACATCCACCACAGCCTACGGAGTTAAACCCTACAGAAGCCAAGTCGCCGGGAGATCTGGTCGAACCTGTTCGATTACGACCTCGTCGGTATCATCGAGTTCTGCTTTTCCCTCTGTAATCTGTGGTTTCCATCATATAATCCCATATCAACTGGATTAGGGCTATTACCTATCAAGGGGCCTGAACCAGTATAATCTTTGTTTTCTGTCTGCTTGATATCATATTACGTAGATCCTCGTACCAGCGTACCCCAGTACCATCTATATCCGATCTACGGGTATCCCCCGTCGACAGTGCCGGAGGTGTGTAGGAACAACGCCACGTCGGACGGGTTGTTGGCGAAGTCCTAGGCCGCAGCGGCGGAGGTGGGGAAACCGGCGATGGTCCGGAGGAGGGGAATCGGCGATGAGGATGGGGATGCGGAGGATGGCTCCGGTGACGAGGCAAGGTGACGACGACGATGAACGACGAGAGGTTGAAGACGGGTTTTTTTTTTTTGTCCAATATGGATAAAATATGTATACCAGTGGCATGTTTTAAACTATATTAAAATTATAATGGCATTGGTACAAATACAAGAATTGTAATGGCATATTTCAAATCCATTAAATTTATAATGGCATGTATCTAATTAACCTACAGGATAACCATATATTCGTTTACCCACAATTCCTGTATTCCCTGCTCAATGCTCAATGCTGAACGTACCGTTTATGGCATCAACCAAGAATATGTGTTAATCAAGAATAGGTTAGTCCGTTCGTATTTCATCATTTTGTTTTTTTATTTTATTATCTTCTTACGTATCTTACTCTAATTACAGCTAATTTTCCCTATTTTCTACTCCCATTAGATAATATACTCCCTCCGTCTAAAAAAAATTAATCTACGAGGAGATGTAACTCTCCTAGATTGATGTATGTGGACATAGGTTGATTTTATTTTTTAATGGAGGGAGTATATGTTTGCATGGTTTTTCTTTTCTCTTTATGATGTCACTGACACTATGATGTGCCCGATGGCCGATTAACTTACATATTCTCTCTAAAGGATATACATTTGAGGTTGATAGATGGACAAAATTTATCAACATATTATCATCACTTTCTCCTTTGTTAGTTTATATATGTAAAATTTTCTAAATAGAAATCAAAGTTATGCATTACTGCTTAGTATAGTACTCCTTCTTATACCAGTTTATATTTTTTTACATGATTTTCGATGATATATTTTGACCAGTAATTTATTTCATTGTATGTTCCCAATGAATATAAACATCACATGAAAATATTTTCAAAATATAAATCTAGTGTATAACATACATAATACTTAGCATATATGTTGTTAGTATTATTATTAATCAAAAACTAGTGAGTTTGATTTTCCTAAAAAAGTGATACCTATAATTTGGGATGGTGGGAGTACCATTCTTATATATATCCAATGCCACAAATTTTTGTCACATCAAATTTGCTTATGTAATTTTATACATATCCCCACAACAATGCGCGGGAAAGGAAGCAGCTAGTATTTGATATTTTTTTACAACTGAAGTTGATTTTGACATTGCATGTTTATGAAGTGATATATCTTATGTTAATATCTATCTTACCTATTTTTTATAATTATTTAGGTGACATGGAAGAAACGGAGTATGTCTTCTCGAGGGATGAAAACAATTTTCCTAAAATTAGAACTAGACATGTTGCGTTTGGTTCCTTCTTCTCTATTGAACCCATATATTTCTTCTACTTAGCAGCTTCTGTATGAACCCCGGGAATGATTAATCTTCAAATCACACGTGCTCCTAAAAGGGGGTCTAGAAATGAGAGAGCATTACGAATTGCCTTATTCAAGTTTCTACTAATTTTAGTATTTAAAGTTAGGCATTTTGTTTTCTTTTTTATTTTAACTCTTGGCAATTTCTGTAGGGGAATATGATCGATCCAATGATAACAAATAATGTCAACCTCTTCTTTTATGCCTAACTTAGACTCTGATTTCCCCACTATGATAGCTGATATAGGGAGCTAGATTAGCCTCACTTGCTGCGTTCGAAAAAATATATTAAAAAATTTAGGTTAGCTATTGGATTTAAATATATTTTTAATGCTTAAATCCTCATTACAAAATCTCAAAACAAAATTTAGGTGAGAGATCTTTGTACATCGGTCATATCCCATATCCTCTAGACATATTATTATGGAGATGACTCTGGTCCGGCACCCGATCGGGAGGAGATAAAATCGGGCGCTGACGTCAACATGACGTCAGCGCCCATTTTACGTGTAAAATTATTTTAAACTGATTTATCTCTTAAATTACTTATCCAAATCATGATCCGGTTGCACCATTAAATTCGTTACAATTAAATCTTCAAAACAAGACCACACATGGATATATTCCGACGAAAAAAAATTTTAGCTTATTATTGAATTATTTTTAAATGTTGCACGATGTTCCACGAATTGTTTCACTAAGTAGATCAAAAATGTTTTACTCGTTTAAATCGAGTGTTGTTTTACCTTATATAAAAACAATGTTTCAGCAAATAGCAAATGAATGTTTCAGTTCAGTGCAACATTAGATCTATACATAGTGAAACATTGTGAGTACATTAGGTGAAACATTTTTGGTGGAATAAAAAATAAACCAAATTCCCTTAACAGAGAGTTTCCAAAATATGTGGGTTTTTTTGTTGCAATGGAATGTTTCATTCAGTGCAACATTAGATCTATACATAGTGAATCATTATGAGTACATTAGGTGAAACATTTTTTGTGGAATAAAAAATAAACCAAATTCCCTTAATAGAGAGTTTCCAAAATATGTGGGTTTTTTGTTGCAAAAGAGTATTTTTAATTCACTGCAACATTAGATATATAAATAGTGAAACATTGTAAATACACTAGTTGAAACATCTTTTATGGAAAAAATAGAGGAAGAAATAGGTGGGTCCAAATATACATGTGGGGGGGGAGGGGGCGCGGGGGGAGCGCCCGATCCGGCTCCCCCCGCACCGGGCGACCGGCCAACAGCATTATCGTATTATTATCAACACAAGTGTATCAAATTTTAGTAATTCTGAAACTTCCTACTCTCAATACTTCCAAAAAAATATGGTAAGTTATTAAACTAAACATCAGCCATCCATATCCTATCTTACCAAAAATTTATTTTGTATTATCTGGCAGGAATTTTTTTGGGGTAATTAAGTAAACAAGTCCTAAATATAAAGGATGGAGTAAACTTTGGACTCAATTCTCTATCTCTATCCCTATCCCTATCCCTACTATTATAAAAATTAAAGATGTTTTTATCGATACTTCGATACGTCATTCTTGTATGAGTATGTTTTTAAATTCGTTTGCATTTATAAATACATATATGCATTTAGTTGGTTTTTAAGCTCATTCGCTTTTGAAAATACATAAGGAGTTATATAAGAAATTTTCTTTAAAAAAACTCACGTGCTAACTTGAGACGATAACTACAGCTCATGATTTTTTTAAAAGAAAATATCCAAAATTTCACCTTAACTAAACCAATACCTTCAGTTGCAACGGGCATTTTTTAGTCTTTTTATAAACCCGATTATTGGGAAATCAAATTTTAGAGTTACGAGAAAATACTTCAGTTGCAACGGGCATTTTTTAGTCTTTTTATAAATCCGATTATTGGGAAATCAAATTTTAGAGTTACGAGAAACTCTCTCCGAGTACACGTGGAACACGTGTACCCCAAAACTGCACCGTGTCAATGCAGTTGTTGTCCGTTCCGGAACAGAAAAGCGAAACGCGAAGCCGATACCGAGTTAAACAGAGTTTTGCCGGTATACGTATCCCCTATTTAAGGGCTCCTATCGTAACGTGATACACTCAACCGAATCTTAACGAGCTTTTTCCCCGTAGAGATAACCCGAGATTTTAGTTTGCGACTCCGGAATCGTCTCGTCGTCGATAGTTGAGCAAACAAACCATGGCGGATGGATCGAGCCCGTCGGCCGCCGCCGGTTACCCTTTGCTGGTGCAGCGAAGCAATGCCGGCTCGCCGGCGATGGCCTTTAGCCTGTCTGACGGGAAGACACACGACGACGTCAGCCTTCCCGAGATGCACTCCAGCACCTACCTCCAGACGCCGCAGGGCTGGGTCCTCGTCCTGAGCTCCTCGTCGGCGCCGGAGATGTCGACGTTCCTCCTCGACCCCCGTGACGGGAGGAAGGTCGGCCTGCCGCCTCTCGACGAGAGCGAGCTCCCGACGGCGCGCAAGTGCGTGCTGTCCGACAACGCCCCGGACGCCGGCGCCGGCGTCGTCGTCCTCAGCCTGCAGGGCCCGGCCGTGTGGTTCTGCCGCGTCGGCGGCGAGCGGTGGTCGACGCACACCTACGACATGGGCTACTTCAGCCTCCCCGTGGAGTACCGCGCCCCCAAGAAGCGGCACCTGTTCGACGTCGCCGGCGTCGGCGGGAGGTTCTACTTCTGCGAGGACAAGGACTTCAGCCTCGGCACGCTCGACTTCACCGGCGACGGCGAGGTGGCGCTGGTCGCCGTGAGCGTCCCCGGCATCGACGACATTTTCCCGTCCCCCGACTCGAGCGGCATCGCGGCCACGTACCTCGTCGAGTCGCGCGGCGACCTGTACCTCGCCGCCGTCGTCTTCCTCGGCTTCCGAGCCGAAGGGCCGCCGCACAAGTTCAGCGTCTACCGGATGGACTTCTCGGCGGCGGGGCCGGCGTGGCGCAGGACGGCGGACATCGGCGGCGACCGGGCGTTCGTCCTCGGCGGCGGCGGCGGCGGCAACTTCGGCGCGTCGTGCTCGGCGAGCGGGTGCGGGGTGCGGGCGAACTGCCTCTACTGGTTCAACTCCTTCAGTCCGGATGACTACAACCTGCATGTGCTCAGCGTCGGCGATGGCGGCGTCGAGACCGTGGCGCCGCCGCCGTTCGAGCACGCCTCTTGTGTGCACAAGCCGTTCTGGCTTGTTCCAACTACTAATAATACTGCATGATTAAGATTAGGTTAATTATGTTTTGTTCCAGTATCAATTAGTACCAAGTACTCCGTACTACTTTACTTTACCTCATTTATAAATAGTTAATGAATTCAGTTATGTGTACGTTTCAGTTGGCATTACCATTACCTGATCAATTCTGAACTGCACATGTTTAGAAATTCATAATGAAAGTAAAATTTCAGTTTATAACGAAAAAAAGCTAGTACTGACCTTCAAAATCACAACTTTATTCAGAAATTCAGCACTGAAATTTGAATCATTGGGTGGTCATCTAAGTTACCTGCTGCTTTGTCTACTTCCTTAGTGACTTTCAAGTCCAATTGTACATATTCAGAAATTCAGGAACAATTGCTAAAATTTAGAAATTTAGTGCTTTGTCTACTTCTTTAGTGACTTTCAAGTCCCAACGGTACAGATTCAGAAATTCAGAATAATGGTAAAATTTAAAAAATCTAGCACTGAACTTTTGTCTCAACAATATATGTTAAAAATTCATATCGATAGCAAAATTCTGAAATCCTTTTACGAGGGAAAAATAGTACTTAACTTAAATTCAGTAGTGAACATTCAAATCTCAATTTTGATTCAGAAATGCAGCATCAAACTTTGAATTATTGGGTGGCTAATTGGTTTAACTGTTGGCTTTCCTTGAGCTCAGTGGCTGATGGCGGCATGCAACTGAAAACCTGTTGGTACCGCCTTGAGTGCCAGTGTGCATTTGATGAATGATGAGACATAAACACCATACTCCTATAATTTTTGTTGGGTTTTAATATCAACAGGGTTTATTCTATGTCATTTCAGTTGAAAAGGTCTTTTTTACAATTGCATATGCTTTCTGAATTTGTTAAGAAGGTTTGCTAGTGTTGAGTTAATTTAGAAACGCTTAAACCACAGTATATAACATCAATATTTTTAAATCATTAATAAAAAACAATCTCAAAGCATGAGGGAGGACAAGGCGCCAAGCCCTTGTTCACCTCTCCCTCTCTCCTGCCAATGAGATCTTTGATGAACCGGTATTAGTCGGATGGGAAACAATGACAAATTTCTATGCATCTTTGTAAACCAGGCAATTTAAAAAGCATAGATATAAGCTACTGCTACTTGATCAACCAAATCTATACATAAGGCTGGATAAAAACATTAACATATCTTCTACCAAAGAATTTTATATTTATCAGGTTAATTTTTTAATAGTTGCCTCTTGTAAAAGAGAACTAAAGTCAGTTATGTTGCTAAAGTAAACCCAAAAAGGTAGTATAGGGGTTCTGTTTTCAAATTAAATAAGGGTTGTTCTATAAAATTTTATGCTCATGGCCAATAATAAAATTAATGACTGTTCCGGTAATTGGCAGGTATTCCAGTGATTTCAAGATTCAATAGTTGTTAAATAATTTGCTATTTTACATATCAAGTATAAATTGGGTACAATTGATTTCCCCCAAAATCCATTTGTGATACGCATGTGTAAGCATGATACGCGGATGATTCAGAGATTTGATGTACCTACTATGTTCGATCTCCATGTATACTTGTTGCAGGGAACCCTCTTTTGTACATCCAGTTCTCCAAATTATCAGTCCCCTCTTTGTCTCCACAAACGCCTAAGTTAGCTTGCTGAAAACAAGAGGAAAACATGAGCTACTCCTAAAATAAATATGCATAAGCTAAAAATTGATCATGGTTTGAGCTGAAAATCATGTTCTATAAATCTTCCTTGGAGTAGCTTCATTGGTCTGGCAAACAAATGTTCATCGTATCATCAAATAAATTAAATGAAGAAGTGTTGATATATCATACCTTCCTATTGAGTACCATAGCCTTACGGGGTTACTTCATCACAAGACATTGAATCAAGGGGTTTTGTACTGTTTCTTTCTAGTTCAACAAATTGCATAGCAAAGTTTAAATCAATGTCTTCACCACTCATATAACTCAGCGGCAAACTCCTTAATTGTCTTACTTTCCCTTTTGAAATAGCAAAACTGAATGTAATGCAAATCGAACTCACTAAAATTTTGCAAGAGCTTCAAGGTTCATACGAGTGTACTATTGTTCAGAGCACGAAAAGAAAGAGAAAAAAATAAATCGTACATGGACACTACCTTATTTGACGACTTTCAGCTGAACCATTGACTCAGTTACTGGAGATTGAGCCTGAGAAAATCCTGCAGGATTGCACAAGTATAAATTGTTGTCATAGGCTCGTAACTAATTCCCACCATGAGTACGTATGGAAGGATGCATTCCTTACCATCAATATCTGGATCAACTCTCTTAGCATGATGCTTTGGTCTCTGTAAAGCAATAATTCATCACATTGTTGCAAGGTTGTGTTGTGCAGCAGAGCTTAATATATTCTATTCTATTGAGGTATAGTAAACTTACTAAAAATAGAGCATCCAAAACCATCCACAGCTAGAGGATTCAGCCTGCCCAAGTATGTCAGAAACCAGTGTAAACTAATTAGTAGAAGTAAATAGGAAATTAGGAACTCATCAAAGAAGCTAAATTGGTGGCTAGCAACAACCATCACGCTTCAGCGATCCCATCCTCCACTCGAGCCAAACAGACAAGCTAACAATCGTAGCAAACCCATCACTAATTCAGTATAGGCATTTAATAGAGTAGGAAAACCTGCATTGCCATGACGAATTCACAATAACCTAGATACCCCTGGTGGTTCAATTCAAGGATGACCCAGGTCTTGTGAGGTAAGGCAGCTATCACAAAATCAATACTCCTACATCCGAATCAGAATCTGCGACAAAGTATATAGGATATTGATATTTCAATACTATAATTAGCTAGCCATAAATAATCAATTACCCTAATCAGAACTAAAATAAAATGTGTTTCGCATCCAAGGGCATAGGTATGTCAATGTGGAAATTGAAATAAAATGATCATCATGATGCTTGCTAATCATGCCATTATTGATTCATGATTCCTGCATATTTCATCTGAAAAGTTTGCTGGCCAAATGTGGCATGTCAAATATATTCTTGTTTTCCTTGTAAAATAAACAAAAGCTTTAATAGCCGAATAACATCTTTTAGAGCCAAACAGAGAAAGGTATGTTCCTCTTTGAACACATCTTCATGCCGAAGTGAACAGGGTGAAGATCTTAGGCAGACTTCGCAGTGGCAGAATTAATGATGCTGGTAAATTCAGGCCACACAGCCAAGAAAGGAGACTGTATTTAGTGAATTAGGCATGTAACTGTGCCTACAAAATCATTCTACTGTGTTTATATAATGTTTACTTTCAATGAAGTACCGCTGACAAGAAAACCATCGACACCAGGTTGTGGTGCTAGCCACTTGCAGTTCACACCAGTTACAGTACCTGTATGAAGAACATGCAAAAAAATCATACATCTAGAAAACCTGATGGTTTTCACCTAAATAAGGGTTTTGATCTGTATTATGCCTCCATATGATCTGTATGGATTCAGCAATCTCAGCACTGACATTAATAGCGAGCCCTCTTCCTTAGGCCTGCATGGACCTGACGAATACAAACCAGATCATTGTTTAAACAATGTATTTATGACTGCCTGTAACTGGAAAAGTTTAGCTGGAGATGCTTCAGAGGCTCATGAAAATATACACTTGTATGCTGATCAAAAAGAAACTTCTTGTGCTTTTTGCTGGTGTAACACAGGTTCATCACCAACCATCACCTTAGTCCAATCCTCGATCCTTTCTGTAAAGTAGTTCCTAGTCATTTCATCCTGAATTTTCATGTGATGCAACAATATTTTATGAAATCATGCTAAATATGAGACATTGTCTACATTAAGCCATACCTAAACCAGTAAACGTAAATAATATCCTGTGGATTCATCTGATGACAAACAGAGATGTTCCCATTTTTAGAGTGTAGCTACCACACAGTGAATATGCTGATAACTAAGTGGCAAGTAACCAGAGATGTTATTATGATATAATTACTCATCTATTCCATTGAAAAAGATACATTAAATCATCTGCTAATTAGTGAACAAAATAACCTTTAGAAGACTATTTTGATGATATGTTGCAGTAGGATCAAATTTAATATCAGCTATGATGATACTCCCTCCGTCCCTTAATATAAGGGATTTTGACTTTTTGCTTGCACTGTTTGACTACTCGTCTTATTCAAAAAAATTATGCAAATATAAAAAACGAAAAGTTGTGCTTAAAGTATTTTGGATAATAAAGTAAATCACAAATAAAATAAATAATAATTCCAAAATTTTTTGAATAAGACGAATGGTTAAACAGTGCAAGCAAAAAGTCAAAATCCCTTATATTATGGGACGGAGGGTAGGTCAGAAGGTTCCCCCCATTGTGCCGAAGACATAAACAAACACCAGTCAATCCACAATAGCTTACCCAAGCACCCAGATGTCAAAGACACTTGAAAATCCTAATGGCAAAAGTAATCAGAAAGCTTATAGGAATTTTCAGGAAGATATATAGCCTGGGATCCGCTATGAATCAACTCATCGTACAACCATTTGTTAGTTTTCTGATCGATATTTCTGATTAGTTAATTTTCTAATATAGTCAAGCAGAATTGCACCAATTTTATCAATTTGTCAAGCTATTTTGCAGCAAAAGATAGTATATAAGTAGTCCTAAAGATGTGTGCTACTCAAAGATAAGATGTTAATTGTAAAGTAAATTATATTTCACAATTATAATCTATTTGTGGCACTAATCTTTTCTCTATTTGATACTTAACATGTAAATCTTGCCAAATATAATCCTTTACCTATGTGGGGTTTCGCTTGAAGGATTCTGCTACTTACAATTATAAAATCCTTTGCCTATGCAGGATTTTGCTTCAAGGATCAACAAAATATTTGTCATCATATTTGACAGACCTATAAAACTTTTAATTCCCGTCCACTATGTTTGTAGTCTATATATCTGATTTTTTTTTTGACAACTGAACTAAGGAATCAGATAAATACTTGGAAAATATGTTCTCTGAAACTTTTTTACCTTTTGAACTAATTCAGGTACTCATCATGGACAATTCCTCTACTAACATGCACTGCCCTTTCTCAGGATTAGGCACTCATGTATGCCAACCAAATGTCTTGTGACA